TCCTGTATATCTAGTATGGACTAGAAGACCTTACAGGTGCCTTCCAATTGTGTTATTCTGCGCCCATTCTGAAATCCTGTCACCAGGATACACAAAAGATGTTGAGACTCAAGAAAGGGTGCAGAGAAGAGCAACCAAGAGGATTAGGAGGCTGGAGGCCTAAAACCTACGAAGGACAGTTGCAGGAATTTGCTACGTTTAGTGTCGTGAGAAGAAGGGCTAAGGGTGACATGATAGCTAGCAGTCTTCCAATATTTGAGGGTCTGCCCCACCAAGGAAGAGTGGGGGTCAAGCTATTCTCCAAAGCCCCAGAAAACAAGACACGAAGCCATGGGTGGAACTGAATGAAGGAGAGAAGCAACCCAGAATTAAAAAGAAATTTCCTGACCCTGAGGAGAATGAATCAATGGGGCGGCTTGCCACCAGAAGTTATGGCTTCCCCGTGACTGGAGGCTTTCAAGAACCGAGTGTGGAACCATTGGATGGGATACGGTCTCCCGCTTGGAGCAGAGAGGGTTGGACTACAAGACCTCCGAGGTTCCCTTCCGGTTCTGTGATGTTTATGTTCTATGACTGTGTCCAAAGACAGCTTCCAACCTCCGGATATTCATTTTTGGAGCATTGGAATCAATTTCCAGCTTCCTTTTTTTCTGGTTTCAGGAGATATTGGTGAGTTTACCGGAACAATCCGGAACTGAACACACTCAAAACTGTAGAAATGGTGGTAGACTTTAGAAGAAAACCTCCCCATGCTACCACCTCTTACTAGACAACACAGCATCAACAATAGAGATCGTCAAATTTCTAGGTTCTATTATATCACATGACTTAAAATAGACAGCTAACATCAAAAAAAAGCCATCAAAAAAGCACAACAAAGAATATTCTTCCTGCGCCAACTCAGGAAGCTCAAACTGCCCGAGGAGGTGCTGATCCACACTGTCTAGTTTGGTTCTGCAACCCAACAGGGCAGACACAGACTTCGGAGAGGAATTAGGATTGTAGAAAAAACAATGGCTGCCAACCTGTCTTCCATGGAGGACCTGTATCCTGCAAGAGTCAAAAAGAGGGCTGTGAAAATATCTACAGACCCCTCACATCCCGGACATAAACTGTTCCAACTCCTTCCCTCAAAACGATGCTATGGAGCCCTGCACACCAGAACAACTAGACACAAGGACAGTTTTTTCTCAAATGCCGTCACTCTGCTAAACAAATAATTCCCTCAACACTGTCCAACTATTTACAAAGTCTGCACTACTATTACTGTTAATCTTCTCATCACTCCTTATCACCCATCCCCTCCCACTTGTATGACTGTAACTTTGTCGCTTGTATCCTTACGATTTATATCGACTGTTTCCTAGTATGATTTGGTGGCTTATTGTACCCTGTGACTATCATTAAGTGTTGTACCTGATGATTCTTGACGAATGTACCTTTTCTTTTATGTACGCTGAGAACATTTGCACCAGGATACATACATTCCTTGTGTGTCCAATCACACTTGGCCAAGAAAGAATAATATTCTATAAAATAGTCCTTTTTCAATCTCCCCCCATCGGCCGAAACATGAAGCTTTTCTTAAAACACACACACACAACGGTGAAAAAACCGACATTGAGAAGGAAGGAATGGTGGAAGTAACACACTCTTTGTGCCTGTATGTCTATTATTATTATTTTTTCCCCCAAAGAATGTCTATTTTTTTTTCTCTCTCTCTCTCTTTTTCTCCGGCCTCGTTCTGCAACCATAGAAACCGGGGAGAAGAAAACGGGTGGGTGGGAGAGAGAGGTGCTGGGTTACAGAAGCTAAAGGACAATGAATATTATCTCCAGGAAAAAAAAAAAAAAAAGCACAAAAGCCTCGTTTGCGAGACGAAGACGAGAAGCTGCCGGTCCAAAATAACATCGTTTTCCCAGCCTGGAACGAGAAGAACAACCTGATTTGCAAAACAACGGGCGTGTTTCTTAACAGAAGGAGGGGAGGATTGAAGTGTGATTGTTGAAGGACATCGTGTACCAACAGCTACAGCACCAGCCTGAATAATCGTGCAAGGCTCAAAACATCCGAGGAGAGGTGATCCTCGACTTACGACGGTTCGTTTTTGTGACTGCAATTAGAAAGACACTGGGTGGAAAAGAAAAGGACCGTTTTTCACACTTGGTGACCGTTGGCAGCATCCCCGTGATCGCGCGATCAAAAGGCAATTGCTTGGCAACTGACTCACGTTTACGACGGGTCGTAGGGTCCCGGGGGGTCACACGACCCCCTTTTGCGACCTTTTGACGAGCCAAGTCAAAGGGGAAGCCCAATTCACTTAACAACCGTGTTCCTGACTTAACGGCTGCAGCAATTTACTCAACAGCTGTGGCGAGACGGGTCATTAAAAACGGGGCAAAACTCACTTAACAGTTGTCTCGCTTAGCAACAGTTCTGACCTAGGCTTCCCCCACAGCACGAAGCCGACTCCTCGACCCGATAAACCCCTTTTATTTAGTTTACAGTGAATTCCTCTCCAGCAACGTCCCGGCCAACCGTCTTTCAAGAAATTTCACAACTACAGACCTTTATCAGGCTTGGAGAGTTGCCAGGCCGATATCTTTCAGATGCCACACTGTAGCAGGCAATAATTGGCTGAATGCAGATCTTCACCCAAATGAACTAATTGTCTCCTGCAAAACTCCATCCCCTTTTGCTCCTCTTTTATTCACTATGGGAGGGGTCATTCTCCGTCCACCTGTGACTTGACTCCCGAGTCGACCCTTGTTCCTTAGCTGCTCCCTTCTCCTGGCAACTCTGTGCATGCGCACACTGGGAACAGGCTCCAGCTGCTCTTCAGCCTCACTGATGTCTGATTCTGAAGGCAGCTGATCACTGTCGGAGGGCCCTGGCCCCATCTCTGCCTCCGACGCAGAGCCCTCGTCCGAGCCTTCTCCAGACTCCAGGACGGGCCCGTGTTCCTCCCCAACCTCCTCACTGTCTGAATCTGCTGCCAGCTCCGCTTGCCACTGGCGGGTCACAATAGCAACAGAAATTTTGGCCTCCATTGCGGTCGTACGTCGAGGTTGTACTTTATGCACAAAAATGGAAGGATTGATGGCCACAGTGGATGACTGGGTGCAAAAGTTAATGGAGTTAGGAAAAAAACAGAATTAATGTTGTTTCCACTCGGAAACCATTGCTGGACTTTGTGCTTGAGATGGGGAGGAAAAAAAAAACGAAATCTTGATTTTGGGTTTACCGATTCAATAGGTTTGTTGTTCCAGAAATGCTACCGTAGTCCCCCAACTTACAGCAGTTCGTTCAGTGACTGTTCCAAGTTACAACGGCCCTGAAAAAAGTGACTTATGACCGTTTTTCATGCTTAATGACCGTCGCTGTATCCCCATGGTCATGTGATCAAAATTCAGGCACTTGGCAACTGACTCGTATTTACGATGGCTGCAGCGTCCTGGAATCTCCTGGTTCTCCTTTTGTGACCTCCTGACGAGCAAAGTCCATTGGCAAGCCTGACTCACCGACAAACACAATACAGAAGCCTGATGATGGCAGATGAGATTCTGCCAAAACATCGCTACTACATTAAAAGCACAACTATAATGACATGGGAAAATACCTGAACAAAGTTGAATACCGTACATGTAAGTACCCACGAAAACTTAAGAAATATATATATGTATGTATGTATGTATGTATATATCTGCGAAAACTTAAGAAAACAAATATATATGTATGTATGTATGTATGGCATTCAGCTTTGTTCGGGTATTTTCCCACGTCATTGTAGTTGTGCTTTTAAAGTTGTAGCAATGTTTCGGCAGAATCTCATCTGCCATCATCAGGCTTCTGTATATTTGGGGATACCGCAACAAAAGAACTCGCAAGCCCATCACACAACCCATTATCCAAGCCGTTAAAACACGAAAGGCTAATGGAAAAAAGATCACTACAACACAAGCGACCCAGGAGATTACAGCACAAGATCCAGGATATCTCCACAACAGAACTCACAAGGCCATCACACAGCCCATTATACCAACATCAACTCCATCAACCAATCAAGAGGCAGCAGCGCAGCCAACCAGCCCAGCACACCAGCCCCCACCACCAGTATTTATAGAGAAACGGCAGCTCCGATCACACACTGCTTGCACTGGCACGAAGCCGAAAGCACCAGCCTGAAGATGGCGAGTGGGACCTCGCCGAAACGTCGCCAAGATACTCTTAATCTTACACGGGAAAAGACCCAAACACACCTAGACGTATGTATGTATGTGTATGTATGTATGTATGTATGTATACATACACACATAAACACACACACATACATGCATATACACACACATACACATACACACAACACACACTAGCTCAAGTTTTGCTACTACAAAACTATGTCGTGGGGCTTAGTTTTGGGGGAGGAAAATAAGGGGGAAAATATTCTGCCTCCGCCTACCAGCATCCATCAGTATTCATCTGGCTAGTATCCTATCAGTGTGTGAGAGAGTTGAGGGCTGTTTAGAAACTGAAACAGTATTTGCTGTGTGAGCAAGAAAGAGACAGCAAAGAGCCTGGGCGTGACTTAGCTCAACTGTTCTGTACTAAAGCTGCTTGGTGCTGTGAAACTGAAACCAAAACTCCTCTCCTCTGCTTGTGTTTTGCCTTTGGAAGAGATTTCTTTTCAGGTGGGGAGGGGGAGTAGAACTCCTTAGCATCGGAGCGTGTTAATAATAATAATAATAATAATAATAATAATAATAATAATAATAATA